TAAATTGTGACCTATAAAATTTTTGATTTGTGATTGAAAAATAATTTATGACCTATAACATTTTTTTTATTTGTGAACTATAATTTTTTATTATTTTTTATCGAGAAATAATTTGTAACCAATAATTTCTGACCAAATTGTATAGAATTGTGATCTTAATATAGTTAATTAATAAAATATGTTTTTAATTAATTATTTCATAAATAAATTTTGATAATATCTGATTTTTGAATTTTTAAACATTTAATTGCTAAACCCTTAGATATAAAATTTTCCGATCAGATAAGCTAATTCGAACCCATTGCATCCTTGAATTGGGAGTACATGCATGTTGGTTGGTTATGCCTCGTTCATCCATTTTGACGCGCCATCTTTCTAATGGTAGTTTGATGATGGATGATTCGGTGATCAAATTGGTATAAACAAACCAACTCTTAAACTATGTAGAAAAAATATTGTTGATTCTCTTGGAAACTAGAAAACAATATTACAAGATGTTTAACTGGGATACATGATATCAAAGGCAATGAAAACTAGATGAGAGGACTTGAACTCCTCCTCTCTTCTTATCAAGAAAATTAGTCGCCTCAGGGTGTACATGACCAATAGAAACACGACTGAGACTACGAACCACGAATTCTTGCCTTTCCAACTTCAAGTTCACCAGCTATGTAGTGATTCTACCATAGTCTTGATTCAAATAATCTTAGACTAAGGGGACAAAAAAAAAAGTCACAGAAAAAGAATGAAATTACTTTTAACAATCCAATCTTCCCGTCATGTTATTGCATCCTTCAAGTCACGAATACAATCTCAAGTACATATTGTCCCTATCTGGCCTCATTTTGAAAATTCATTTTCAACCACACATTATGGACCTTATAACTTTTGTCAACTTTTCAACCATACATTCATCAATTTTTATCAAAATTCACTAAAAAATCTAATTTGTAGTTGAACCAAATAGAAATAGTCACAACAAATAGAAGAATAGCTGGGATTTTCAGCACTTTGCTTACTATGAAAAAGAATTAGAATAATGTTTTGTGTACAATC